CCGCACCCGTCTGCAGATTCCATGGACTTGCCCATGTACGCCCGACGGACGGGACGGAGGGATTGGATTCACCCTGCGACCGGGAAGTTGACTGCTGTCTCCTGCGTCCCGGTTCTGAGCCCTGAAACAAAGCTCGGTGACCCCCGTTGTGATCATGGCCTTGATTTGACAAGCAGACACTGGACTTCAGATCTTCACTGGTCTACGAGCACCTTCCTTCTGTGATTCGTGTTCGTCAGGCTCTGCAAACCTAGCAGTGGTGCATAAATCATACATGTAATATATATATATATATATATATACATATATATATATAGAGAGAGAGAGAGTATACATACACATACGTATCTATTTCCATACTTGTTTAGTCAAAAGACCCAAACATTCAACAAAGGATGGGAGACGAGCAGTGCGCTTGTGCTCTAGTTACATAGAGGCCGATGCCTTTTTACGGCTGGTTATTCTGTTTGAGTCATGGATTCAGAAACAGGTATTGGGCTCGCTGAGTTCACTGATAGAATTTGTTGTTCTGCGTGTTGTATTTTGCGATTTCTCTTGCTACTCGTCATTCCGGCTGGAAATGTGGTCAAGACAAGTCGTGACCATATTGCTCCTGCGAGTTGCTACTGTGAGTCTTAGCAGAAGCTTATTGTGTTCCGCCAGCCAGTCGGACTACAGTTGTCCCGACAGGGATTCTGACAAAACCTTGCCTGGAGCAAACCGAGGGAACATCTATCATGATCCACATACGGTTCCGAATCCTCAACTACGTCATAAGACTCTGCATTCAGAGCCGTGCTGACGTTTCCCACATCCACAAGAAGTCCTCTGCAACATGCTTGAAAGCAAGCTGTTGGCAACAACCGGAAGAGCGCAATACCTCTCAAATGCGGGAAATGCTGAACGTCAGCATCGGGATGCCCCTCCCCCGTCATTTCGAGGGTATGCTCATCTTCATACTGGTTAGGGGTAAGTCAGGCTCTGGGAACAACCATTCCCAAATTTCCGCCCCCACCTCCGTCAGACATCCGGCGATCGTCAGTGCGAGAACCTGCTTTCCCCAAAGCATTGCGGGCGAATCATGAGATTTGGTATAGCTAATTGCGACAGTTAAAACAACCCTTCGTATCATAATACTAGCAGGCAGCAGCGGCTAGTAGGGCATCAAGTTGCAGAGCCCTTCATGTAGTATGCTTGTGCCCACGAGCTTCTGGCCCGGTGAGACTCGGCTGGTCCTCAACCACTCCCTCGACCCCCCCATGCCCTCGCGATGCCTTTCCGCCGCAACAGACGAGGTCCGGGGTGAGACGATGGACACTGGGCAGTACCAGTAACCCCAAACCAAACCGAAACTAGCACATGAAAGTCCGCTTCCGTGTCTCCTAAGCTCAGAAGCCTCTTTTGAATCGTATGGTGCAGGGTTTAGGGTTAATGATACGAAAACCATGATAGGCACTGCATCCATAAACATTGTAGCAGTGCTCAGGGCCGACTTGTTTCGGGTGCCGGGGCATAAGATTCTGCTACAATTTGTTGACTCCACTCTACTAGCGCTCACAGAGCTACTCCGAACCCTGCACGCCCTAGACTTCGAAATCTTGGTCAGGAGCGGGTGGTGGCGGTTGTGTATTTCAAGTGTATCCAACTTTCATCAGAATGAGCTTCCCTTTGCGGTTTACTGCTCTAGCTCGCTACGACTTTGAGGTGAAGGTCATCGCAAGATTGCCGGAAGTTGACTCCTGCAGCAACTTGCACTCTCATTGGAAAGGAGGGATGGCACTTGACTGTTGTTGCGTTTCCTATGCAAACCCTAGCGGGGCGTGACAGCTACAAGTCAACTTTATACCAACCTAAGTTGGAAACCCTCCAACCCTTGGAAAAAGGAACCCTGGCTGGGAGCGCAGAGCGCATCCGAACTCAGCCCCACATACGCCTCACCTGCACCGAAGAGGCAGGCTGTCCTAAGGAAGAAGCCTTGGGAGAACAAAAAGATCAAGGTTCAGCGCTCCCACATATTATTAAGTCGTCAAGCTTAGGAAATAGATGTAAATAGACTCAATCTACTCGTGCAATTAAAGTCCCTTGTGGCAGGGACCAACAGCTTTCTCCCTCAATCCTTCAAGGAGGCCTGTGGGGCTCAGGCTAAGATAAGGCTTCAGTATTCCTATCTGCAATGCTCGAACCGAACGGCTTAGGTTCTGAGGCCTCTCTGCCGGGGGACACGTCAAATGCGAAGCTTACACTCCAAGCAAGCAGCCTAACCTGGAATGAAGCGGTCAAGCGATCTGGAGACAACCAAGGAAGCCAACACGCGAGTACTTCGCAGCCTCACAGCCAGAACCACTCCCCCTAGCCTCAACAGACCCTGAACCCCGAACCCTACACCACAGGCCATCTTGATGGGCTGCCAAGCTGCGTGCCGTTCACGTTCGGACCTCCCGGGCCTCACCAAATGAGGGGAGAAACTTGCTAAATCTCTGGTCCGCGTCATGAAAATCCTGCATAATGTCTCTGCGCTCACCCAAACTAACGTGGAACCCATACTTTCCCTCCGTCGAAGAAGAGCGGTCTGTCATGTTCTAATAAAAGTGCAGGAGGGTCTACATCGAAAACGGAACTTCGGCCGGTTTGATCCCAAGGCACAAGTCGAGCTAGCTCCGATAGCTCTGATACTAGGGTAGGAAGCAGGGCTGGCTGCCTGCCCGTTGGTGTGAGTAATCGCGGTTTTCGAATGTCTATAGAAAAATAAGATTGATCTTAGACGGCCTTCGGCTTCCTCCAACTCCACAGAATGGCTCCCGCCGGCCAGTTCAGGACGCATGATAAAGCCATGACCCTAGGCACGTTAGAAAGTGTCGGGTCTAAGATGCTTGCAGACAGACCCGGCACTGGGCTCTGCTAAGGAACTGGATTCAAGTTGCCGCATGTTGCCGCAAATAGGCCAGGAATGTAGACAGTGATGTAGCAAAAAGTTGCTTATTACGATATCCTTTTGCAAGACTTCGTGCGCGCCCTGCCCCTCTGTGCAGGGAGCAGAAGATATGTTGGAAGTCTTTGCGCCTCATGCGCAGGATCCTCCGCTCCCATATACATACTATACATACACACGCACGGATCCTGTAGATCAAATGCCAGAAACAAACACCTCTGCACTTCAAGGCCTGCACAGCCCATCGCACTTCACAACCCCAGCAACCTTCAGGCTGCCACGTCTACGGTCAGTCCCTTTCCGAAGCTTCGGAGGGCGCACCTCCGGGGCCCTCCGTCCTGAGCAGAGACTTAGGAGGTAGCTCCAATTGCAAAGATTTTGGGATGTCGGGTCTCAGCTTTAAGGCTCTGGGCTTTTGGGGTTCATTGAGGGCCATGGGCTTTTGGGCTAGGGTCAAAGCAAACTACAATGCTGGGAGCTTTAAACTCGTAATCCCTGATCACCCACTCGTGTGAAGCCGTATTGAGCGTAGTTTCGAGGTTACTTCTCTTTGTGATGGGGCGCACCGGTTTTCAAGGTTGACCAATTAGATCCTTCCAGACGCTTGACCCCAAACCAAGACCTAAATGTTTGGAGCGGCTCCCGATGCATCAGATTTCAAACATTGGAACCTGCGTGTCGTCGCCAATGTAGGCATGCTAGAGACACTGGTTGAACAATGTGCAGTCATGATAACCCATGAGCTTGTACTGCTACTGGTACTGCTACCGACTACTACGACTAGGCTACGACGAGGATCACTGCTACTTCTGCTACGGCTTCTACGATACGACTACGACTTCGACGACGACTACTGCGACTACGACTGCTGCGACTGAGACCACAACTGCAACTACAACTACGACTACGACTACGAACGACGACAACGACGACGACTACTACTACTGCTGCTGTTGCTGTTGCTTCTGCTACAGCTACACCACCAAGAATGCTGAGAATCACCATATCCATACCTGCATTCGTCCTACTTGTCGTTGAAATGGTAGAAGCAGTAGCGGTAGCAAAAGAAGGTCAATCCTCATGAATGCGGGCAATCGCCAAAAACGAAATACAACAATCATTATACCAATGATGACAACAAGAACGACATTCATAGTGACGGTCATGACCGTAATAATGTTAACAGAGACAACGTTACAAGTAAAAGTTTCATAACGACGATAATCACAATACAAAAAGAAGATGGTCCATACAATACCAACAATAGTAATCATCATCAGAATCATTACCAGCAATAACATCATACAAGTAAGAGACGATAAACACCATAACGACACTGAAACACCAACAACAATAACAATAATGAGCGTGATGGGAGTTAACCAACATGATAACAGTATATTAATACGCATAACAACTGTGGAAATGCTGTTGGTAAGGCTCAGGTGGATGTATCCAACGACTTAGCTTCAGCTAATCTTCGGTTCACCCAGCCTTTGCCGCTTCGCCGGGGGCACCTCGCCCTGACCGCCACGCTTGAAGGTCATGGACACTTCCTTGGGTTCAGCCTTTCTTTGGTTTCTTGCTTTGGGTTTGGAGTTGAAGGATTTAGGCATGTAGGAAGTTTCGGCGGGCTACAATCTTACTTGTTCTCTGCCGATGAATGTCTTTGGGGTTGTAGCATGAATGTGAATACTCTATGTCTCTTTCGTTCTGCTGCTTCGCATGGTAATGCTTGTGTCGCCGAAAACTACCTTAGCCCTTCATCGCTGCACGAGCCTTACCGGAACCGTTCGAACGACTACTGGCACCATCGATTTGATTGTGAATGCGAAGGTTCTCATTACGGTGGTGGTGATGCCGCTACAGCTGCTACTATCATTCGCTGCGACGACGACTGTCCGCTACAGACATCACCATGAATACAGCTGCCATTTGCTCTGCTACAACTGTGACCATACTGTCACCTCAGACTTTGGTTACTAGGTTACTAAGCCTGAAAACCCTAACGCCCTGAACCTAACCGCAAAAATGTCTTCTTGCCGAAGGTCGTGACATCTCCATCGGCCCGTCATGCCGTTGTCCAACATCTCGGCCCAGAACCAAACCTCGAGTCTGTTGGGATCAATAGGGTTTAGGCTCTTGAAGCTCACGTCTTGGGGAGATGTGTGGGGTTTTGGTTTCAGGATGTTTAGGTTTCGAGCTCCGCAAGGTTCCTCGGACCCTGAACCAGAAGGCAAGCAAATCGCAAACTCCGAACCCCAAGCCCCAAGCCATCAATCATCAATCCCTACTGGTAGCTTTTGAATCTGTCGCTCCCACGTGCAACTGGGTGGCGCGGCTGCCCACGAGGTCGAAGCCCTGGGCGACCTGCTTGGGTTGCTGGCTTTCAGGGCTTCGCGGCTCGGCGGATTCTCGCGGGTAGTGGGTCCAGAGTCTAGGGTTTACGGCCTGTGGAGTTTAGGGTTTAGGGGTTTAGGGTTGACTTGGGGATTTCCGGCTGGCCTGGGATCATAGCCTTTCCCTGGCATGAGCCGTGGTGCGAGAGTCCGATGACAAAAAGAAGAGAACTGACCAGAAGAGGGCTTGTAGGAACTCTTGCAGGCTCGGGCAAGGAAACGTCAAACACCATCCAAAGCTCTAAGGCCTACTCGGACACGAGACTCAAGCTGACTAAGTACACAAGTGAAGACCCAGCAGGTGGCCGGTTGCAGCAATATGGCAATGCTTGCAATACCTACGCCTGCAAAACAAGCATTAGCTGGTATTCCTTCTCATGCCTAAGACTTCAACCAACAGCTTTTCTTCACAAAACAACCACTTCAATCCCGAAGCGCTGCCTTTTGCTGGTCGTCTGGGTGCATGTCCTTGGGATTCCGTAGTTGCGGGCGTGGACGGGGACAGGCAGGGCGTTTGGGCAGGCCTAAGGCGCTTCGGCCTTAGCACCCGAGGGCCGTAACGGCTTGAGGAAATTCAGGGCTTCGGCCCCTCGGTCTGCCGGTTGCTTGCTGCGGAGCTTCGGGGTCTAGGTCCGGAGCTCATTGGATTTGGGGCGTCGGGGCTTGAACTTGAGGCTTGGGGGCTGTAGGTCTTCAGGCTTAAGTCGAGCTTCATGATTTTCTTGCCAAATCCATCGTAAGCTGGAGCCAGCCAAACCATGTCACGGCAAGAAGTGTTGCCCCATCGTGGCAAGAACATATTCATCAAAAGACGACCGACTACTACACTGACAATAACAGCAGCAGCAGCAGCAACAACAACAGCAGCAGCAACACCACCAGCAGCAGCAGCAAACGCAGCTGCCACGAAGTTAACAAGAAGATGCGTGCCAGCACGAGAACCCTCGATTCACCCGAAGCCCCCAAGTAGAACCCACAAAGGTCTTGCTAAACTCTGTTGGCTCAGTTCCGGGATTCAAGGGTGGCATGGGGGCTTCCATGGTCGTGCTGCGTGGCTGCGTGGGTGAAGCCCAACTTCCCCCGCCGCCTTGACGTGGAAGTAAAGGTCAGTCTCGTCGCAATCCACATTGACGAAGCCGTACCCCCGATCCTGTCAGCGTGCAAACTCGCGCAAATTTAGGGCGAGATGTTGGTTCGAAAGCAATTTGCTCAATGCATGTTTCCTGTGTTCTTTCTCAATGTATATTATGTTTTCGAGTGTGTATATGTATATATATATACATATAATAATAATAATCATAATCATAATCATCATCATCATCATAATCAGAATCATAATCATAGTCATAATAGTAATAGTAGTAGTAATAATGATAATACATACATACATACATACATACATACATACATACATATATACATATATACATACATGGATACATAGATACAGAGATACATAGATACATAGATACATAGATACATAGATACATAGGTACATAGATACATACATACATACATACATACATGCATACATCTCGTATCAGATCATACAAGTATCATATCATATCATATCATGTCACGTCAGGTCATGATGATCAAAATACATGTTTACAAAATGAGTGGCAAAACGGTGTGCTCGAGCCTACCTGCGCAGATAGAGGTAGACATGAAGTATGGACACCACATGAGCTTGTGAGGTCGTGCGTCTTCGTTGTGAAACCCGCGCAAACCTGTGCCTGCCACCACATGACATACCAGTCCTAACCCGAAACCCCCACACCCAATCTCCGAAAGAGAATCTTTGCACCTTCACGTCTACAGTCCCTGAGGCAACCTAGGAGACGCACTGCAAAAAAAAACCCAGAATCGTAGGTTCCATACAAGCACACGAAGGGAATTTCTTAATCCGAACACAATCGGATTCATGAAGATCTCTCATAGCAGACATTGGGTTCCTTGACCTGGTTCTGTCTTTTTAGTCGACGGCCTGGCCTGAAGGTGAGACTTCCGAGTGTCATCAAAGCAGCCTTTGCTTAAGCCAAGCGGAATTGCCTTGTTGAAGGTTCGGATGGTGCCGCTGACCTCCGCCCCATCGTAGAGGAGGGTGCCAGTTCCTGGGATGATGGCCTTGGCACGAGTCTTCAAAGTTCAGGATTTCCGCTCCGAATTCCCCGCAAGCCCAAGACCCTTTGACTAAAATCTGGCTTCGATTACAAAGGGATCCGTAAGATGAGTTAACATAGATGCCTTATTGAAAGGCTGTGGGGATACATGGGGTACAACTGCATATTGGGCGAGAGGTCTTTGCTGTACTGCTCGATGGTTTGGGCTCAGAAGCTTCTTGTTTCAAGAAGCTGGGCAGCTGCGTCTCTGAGGCTTCTGGGGAAAAACTGACCCTCCCGACCTCGTGTGCGACCTGCGCAGCCTTCTGCACGGCAGCATCCACCTTCGAAAGAGCCCGGTCGGCTGATGATCGAACTTACCTTGTTCGGGTTTAATCTCCCGAACCAAAACAAGGACACGCAACGGCGAGCTGACCTTGCTGAGAGAGCCTTATTTCTGGTGACCCTGGTCGCTGTGCAAGGATCCTTTCGTCGAACTCTCGGCTCAGAAAACAGATATTCTTGGTGTCTTGGGGTGTTCAAGCAGAAGCTCTGAACACGATACCGTGAAGGGCTGTCATGGCTAAGGTGGGGATGCAGAGTTCTTCGGCGAAGGGCCTCAGCTGTGGCGCTTGCTCGCCGAACGAGCATCCAGAACCGAAGCCCCAAGGGTTACATTACACACAGCTGCTTGGATTCTGCCGCAAATGACGGACGCGAAACAAGGCCGGGCCCTAGACTAGCTAGACTAGACCCTGGGAAACTGAGAAACTGCCAAACTTCCGGCCAAAGCGACGGCGGCGGCATCGCTCATGTTCTGGGTGGCTTTGAGGCTTTGGGCTTTGGGGTTCATGGCTTCTCATGGCTTCAGGGTTGTTGCGAATGGCGTTGGGGTTTAGGCCCCTGTAGCCGTAAAGTTGGACACTCTTGGTCCTCTGTGCCCAACAGCAAATAACAGCAAATAACATGAAATATCAGATTCGTACTGTGTTCGTTTCAACTTGTTGGGGACTGAGAACGTTGGCGGATCAAGTCGCAGGATTTGGGTTCACGGACTCAGGATGTTTCATGTTGAGGGCTTCGGATTTGGCGTTCGCAGGCTCGGGTTCAGGGCTGCGGCTTCGTTGGGCTGTTTGAGGTTTGTGGTTGTCAGAACTGAGTTTCAGCTACCCCAAGGAGAGAAAACAACCGTCTTTGCTAGATATCCTTATGATGGTAATTTTTGAACAATTGCATCCCCTAGCAGCATCCGAGAAAAAACAGAACCATGCCTGAAATGACAACCCTAGACAACAGGCGGAGATCAGAAGCCCCGAGCCCGAATCCTCAGAAGGGAAGGGTAGTAGAAGTGGGGCCTTAATGTTTTGGGTAGTTCTCGAAATTAGGTTCCCTTGTTTACGCCCCACTATAGTACGACACCCTTACAAAAAGGACCCCAAAAGGGACCCTAATTTAGAGAACTGCCCATATGTTTGGCGCTGATCTTTTCTCGAATAAGCATGGGAAACTGTTAGGGGTCAGCGGTGTGGTAGCCCAGAGAGCCTTTCAGCAGGCTGAGGCTGAAACTGAGGGTTTTCTGGGATTTGGGACCTCTAGGCCCTTTAGGCTTTAGGGTTTCGGCTTTTCTTGGCTCTGGGGTCTACTGCAGCTCGACTACAGTCATGCTGTGTCAAGGCTGCTGCCAGTGTCCAGCACAAACCAACGCTAGCTCACATACAACCCCGAACCCCAAAAGCCTTCATACCCTAAACTCCCGAACCAATCCTTCTTCCCAGAGCTCTAAACACCCTCGCCCCAAACCCAAGTGAGAGCCGGGTGGCGGCTCCCGGGGAGGTGGAGACGTCCCGCGCTCTGAGGCGACCACCCCCTGTGCGGCCCGCAACCGTTGCACTGCAATTCTTCATGGAAGTGTACACGGCCCCGTCTTTTCTATCATTTGGTGCTGTGACTTTCTCCTTTCACGGGATAGTATGGTTGGAACAAGGCTTCTCTGAGCTGGAGTGCCCGAGGCTTGCCTGGTGCTTAGCTTAGGACGGTTTCAAAAACTGTTCGCTATCTGCTGGAGACTCTCTGTGGCACTCGCTGACGGCCTCTCGTCTGTGAGCCTGGTGCCTCGGACCACGGATACTTTTCATGTCAATTATCCCGAAAGCCTGGCATCAGCTGGAGCCAGAAGTGCACCAGCGCCTGTGCAAAGCTGAATTCAATGTGTGGGCAGCTGCAAACCGGGATTCGTTTGCACATTCTGTTGGATCTTGCATCTTGTTGTCGGTTGCACCTTCACCATCGTGCAGCCAGTAAGCTCTGAATTGCCAAATAAATCAAGCTGTCAAACCCTAAAAAGCGCACCCCTGAACCTTCGTGAGGATGGGTGAAAGTTTGGTCCCTAATTCTGAGTTGTGGTGCATCACGGTTTTGGGGTTTTGGTTGGACTTGGGACGCAGAGCCCAGGCATTGTGGGGGAGGGGCTATGTTCAGAGCTTAGCCACGCCAGACGTGATGCCACTGCCGTCGGGACCGACGGATTCCAGCTGCTGCTTTACCTTAGCAGAAGACTCTTGTGCGACAGTTTGCGACGCCATGTTGCATCATGCTCACCACGGCCCCTCTAAAGACTTCCCAGGCAATGCTACCGATGAGACACTCCCTTGCCTGCACCCTTGCTTCCACGCTTCTTCTTGGTTTGGCAACCTTCCAAGATTGGTAGCCTCCCAAAGTTTAATGCCTACCGAAAAACAAAAGAGACTCCGGAAGGTCCACAACCTCCCAACGCCAGCGCTGGTTATGCTATGACGACGACGACGACGAAGCAGTTGTTCTAACAAGAACAGTGGTGACAACAACATGAAAAAGACTGCGAAGAAGAATTCACAAAGCTTGGCCCAGGCACTGCTTCTGTGAGGTCCCAGATCTGGAAGTACCTGCCCGGGCTCAGGTTTCAGATGGGAAATCACAGCAAACCCGACACCTTCCTACAGCTGCTGTCTGGTTCTTCAGGAGTCAGCTTTTCTGAAATAGAGAGGCAGTGATGACAATGATGAAGAAATTTTGCTCTCCTCACCCAGAAAGCTTCCGAAGCTTTAGCTACGGCTTCGCTGCACATGTCAGGAAAAATCGAGCATCGATCGGAAAACTTCGCCTCTTGAGAATGCTCAGTATTAAGACTTCAATGCAAAAATGGCGTAAGCATTCGCGGACTTCACGGCCAAGTTGCACGTCGTTGTATTGGCCATCAAGACCTCGCGGCAGGCGCGGCCCGGCTCCTTACCCTGAGCCCTGGGAACTCTGCATTCCTACAGGCTACCAAGTCCAACTACTCGAAAAGCTGACACCAAATCCTTGTGCGAGAGCTCACCCGAAAGCCCATGCCATTAAGCAGCATAGAGGCTTCAAGAGCAAAGGACCTACTGCAAGAAGCCCTCAATACGGGAGCTCTGCCCCGCATCGCATGCGACTTTCAAGGGCTTCAGCTTGCAGCTGTCATCCTGGGGAGATCCTTCGAAAGCTGAACTCTCCGAAAGCTCGGGCGGGGAGGGCTGAGCGGCTGCTCTCAGGGCCCAGGGCGTAGCTCCAGCTGAAATCGAAACCGAGGCCCCAGCTGATGAAGCCAAAGTTCTTCTCCTTGGTTACTTGCCGTCAGTTCGAACTCCCCACAGAGTCGTCTGCGCTTGGTGTCTAGCTCTTGGTTACTGGGATTCTTGGTGGGGAGAGCCTGCTTGCCTACTTCCACGGACACTTCAGCCCGGTGTCGGCGTTGTACGACTTGATCCGTCCGACCAGCTCGCAGCCAGGGATAACCTGTTTCTCCACCTGTTCAGTTTGGGGCTTCGGGTTGAAGGTGTACTGAAGCCGAGGCATTGGCACCACGGAGTGGCCACTTCAAGACAAGGACTTCTGTGACCCAAACCCTCTACTGCCACATCCCCAAGCTGAAAATTCCAACCTCGAAGCCGTTACATCAAATCCATTTCAGTCTGGCCGAGTGCTTCAGCCCTCCCATCCCACGAAAGTGCAGTCAATGCGCATAGTTACTCGTAGTCGTCGCAGCGTACAGATGATGATGATGATGATGATGATGATGATGTCATGAAAAGGAATAGTAGTAGCAGCAGCAGCAGCAGCAGTACCCGCAGCGGCGGATTTGGTCAAACTGCTTGCAAGATCACTCGCTTCCTGCTATCATAACATCTTCATCCTCACTCACCCTCAGCTTCCGAGGCGTGGTCAAAAGGATCCGCTTCCCGCCTTCGGCGGAGGCCCCTTTCCCCAACCTTTGCCGCCGTAGTCGCCGTAGTCCATCGGCCTCGAGCCGCTCCAACAGCATTAAACTTAAGGGGTTAAGGCTTTGGGGTGGGGTTTGAGGGCCTAGGGCTTTGGTGGTTTGGGGGTTGGAGGCCTGTCAAAGTTCAAACGAATCACAACCCGAACAGCGTGTTCGCATTTATCGAATAATCCGCAGCGTTTCGATTCGAACAGTATCACAGCTTGTCATCACCCTGTCCAGATCACGGACCAGCTGCTTGCAATGTTGTCAGTGATATTCTATGGTAGAACGACTGCTGTCAGAATTGCTGAGTACCATCACCCAATCTGTAAGAAATATGCTGAGATAGAGTGGAAGAGTCCGCATAGCATATAGTCGTGGCAGGGGGGTTGTGGGGGCAAACCTGTGATTCTCGCGCGAGACTGGTGACATCTCAAATCATAGAACCAAAAGTGTATGTGTATGTATATACATATATATATACACACACACATATTTTTGTATTTATTTATCCAGAAAGGTACGCCGTGGAGGGGGTATATTTATATAATTACATATATATATATATATTCTTCTGTTTAGGTGTCGTAACAGCTACCTGAACAACGCCAGGTACCCTATTTCAATGAAGTTCACTTTTCAACACGAATCCCCCTGAGCATTTTATGAAAACACTGCATTGCAAGCCAAGCGGCCCCATGCCCCAGTAGTCCCATGATGGATCGTAATCCTTGGGCTTGGGTCGCTGGTGCCAGGCGGATTAAGCCACTGGCACTGGGAAACAAGGTTGCAGTATTCAAAGTGATCCATAGCGCAGAGGACTTTTCAGGTTTTTAGGCTTTGACATTTTTGAAGCCGTAGCAAGAGAGACAGACGAGTTCTTCCCGGATTGCAACGGAATGACGCACCTAAGCCCTAGAGCCTTGAACACCCAACACCACCCTTGACACCACAACGCAAAAGGGGGGGGGGGTCAAGCAGGCAGCAATGTCGAATCGACAGTTTTAGGCATGTGTGACAGGTACTTGCAATTCTGCGGAAGCTTTGGGAATCTGACATCTCCGTGACTCCGTGTCACCAAACTTAGAAACTAAGGCTCGTCACGAACTCACTTTATCCGATAGTGCACTACTGCAGTTTGCTTGCCATCCTGATTCCGCTTAGTAGAATACTACCGCGAAGACAACAAAGGCCAAATACCGCAATGCCCAGAAGATACATCCCGTGTCAAAGGTCTTTGACGGATCAAACATCTGATTCGGATTGGGGTTTAGGGCTTCGCATTTCTTGACTTCAACCTGTACTGACTGAAAGCTGCTGGAGTTTGGAGCTTACTTCTACTTGACAGCGCTCACAGCGAGAATTCTGCTGCTGGTAGCTTGGCGACATTCCACTAGCGCACAACCCTAAACCCCTACACCCTAAACCTTAAACCCTAAACCCTAAACCCCTAAACCACAGAACCCGACACAAGTCTAGACCCCAAAACTCTGAAGCTCTGACCCAAGATGTTATGCACCCCCATGCGTGAAACCCCCTCTCCAACCCCCAAACCCGAACACTGATACTTCTGGGATCCCCGCCATACCTTTGCCCCAGCCTGGCCGGGGGCAAGCAACGCTTGCGAAGGGACTCAATTGATGGGGTTTCCAGTACTGTAGGCAAGGCTAGTGTGAGTGGGTACTGCCTCAGTGCTACAGTGAATTGCGTGGGGCCTCCTCCTGCCACCTCCCTCTGAAACCCCTCCCTTTTGCCGGCGCAGATTCGGACGAGGTGAACGCAAGCTCGGCAGAGCCGTTTGAGCGGTTTGGTGAATCTTCTTCCTGCCCCTTGTGGTTCGCTCCTCTGTCTCACATGATTTAGCCCCCTTCCAACGGACTTACCTTTTGCATGCTCCAACCCTTGACAACGAACGGTTTGCTGCTTTTTGTGCTTATCCTCAGATGCTGCAGTCCCTTACATAGTCTCTTTCGAGCGGTTTCCTGTTCTTCCTCGGATGTTCAAATCCCTTTCGAGCGGGTTGCTGTCGGTTTCGCAAATGCTCTAATCGCTTTCGAGCGGACCTGCTGCTGTTTCTCAAATGCTCTGGTCCCTTTCGAGCGGTTTGTACCTGCCTCACGACTTTCGAGCCTCTTTCTCACGTGCTACAGTCCATTGCGAACACAGCGTTGCTTTATTTCGTACTTGCTCCGGTCCCTTTCGAGCGGTTGGCCGCTCGCTCTCGGATGCCATAGTCCCTCTCGAGCGATTCCCTGTTTTTGTCAAATGCGCTACACTAAAGCGGCTTGCTGCTGTTTCTCACAGGCTCTAGGTTTTTTTTGCACGGTTTGCTGGCATTCTCAGATGCTCGAGTCACGGATCGCATTGTAACAGTTCGGCGCTCCCTTCCAGCCGTTTGCCTGACTGGTTTGCTGCTCTCGCTCTCGTCCCTTTCGTTCGGTCTGCCGCCCCTTCTCAAATTCTCTACTACATTTCGACTGGCTTGCTGCTCTTGCTGCACTCTAATGCCTTTGAGCGGTTTGTTGCTCTTCCCAGAGCGGTTGCTGCTCTTTCTCGGATGCCTCGTCCCCTTCGACTGGTTTGCTGCTCTTGCTCTAGTCCCTTTCCAGCGGTTTGCCGCCCCTTCCCAACGTCTCTAGTGCATTTCGGCTGGCTTGCTCTAGTTTCTTTCGGGCGGTTTACTGCCGTTCTCAGATGCGGCTGCTGCTCTCTTTTGCATGTTCTCGTCCCTTTCGACTGGCTTGCTGCTCTTACTCTCGTCCCTTTCGAGCGGTTTGCCGCCCCTTCTCAAATTCTCTGGTACATTTCGACTGGCTTGCTGCTCTTGCTCAAGTCCGGTTGCTGGTGTTGCTTCGGTGTTCTAGTCCTTTTGGACTGGTTTGCTGCTGTTGCTCCAGCCCCTTTTCGAGCGGTTTGCAGCCCCTTTTCAAATTCTCTACTACATTTCGTCTGGCTTGCTGCTCTGGGCTCCACTCTCATCCCTTTGAGCGGTTTGTTGCTTTTGCCAGATGCGGTTGCTGCTCTGTTTCGGATGCTTGGTCCCTTTCGACTGGTTTACTGCTCTTGCTCTAGTCCCTTTCCAGCAGTTTGCCCCTTCCCAAAGTATCTAGTGCATTTCGCTAAGTCTCTTTCGGGCGGTTTACTGCTGTTCTCAGATGCGCCTGCCGGTCTCTCTTGGATGTTCTTGTCCCCTTCGACTGGTTTGCTGCTCTTGCTCTGGTCCCTTTCGAGCGGTGTGCCGCCCCTTCTCAAATTCTCTAGTGCATGCTGCTCTTGCTCTATTCCCTTTCGATCGGTTTGTTGCTTTTCTCAGATGCGACTGCTGCTCTTTTTCGGATGCCTGGTCCCTTTCGACTGGCTTGCTGCTCTTGCTCCGTCCCTTTCCAGCGGGTTTTGCCGCCCCTTCCCAAAGTCTCTAGCGCATTTCGACTGGTTAGTTGCTGTTGCTCTAGTATCTTTCGAGGAAATTATTGCTGTTCTCAGATGCGGCTGCTACTCCCTCTTGGATTTTCGAGTCCCTTTCGACCGGTTTGTTTTTTTGCTCCAGTCCCTTTCGAGCGGTTTACCGTCCCTGCTCAAATTCTCTAGTACATTTCGACGGGCTTGCTGCGCCTGCTCTAGTCACTAGTCTCTTTCCAGCCCCTATTGATTGGTTTGCTGCTCCTGCTCTAGCCCGTTTTGAGCGGTTTGCTGCTCTTGGTCAGATGCTCTAGTCAGTTTTGAGCGCTTTGGTGTTTCTTTCCTGATGCTCTGTGGGCTTCCTGGGAAGTGGGGCAAGAGACCGAAGATGGTGCAGCGCAGCGACCAACCTCATTCACAAACCCGCGGTCCGCCATATCCCAACAACGCACTCTCGGATTTGCATTGAGAACCTTTTCTGAACCCCAGGGGTGGGTGTCTTAGCCAGGTTCTGACATTACCCTAATGGGAAACCTAACTTCGAAATTTCTTCGGAGCCTTTCGGGCCGAGCATGTCCGGGGTGATGCCGCCCGGGGAGGAGCCGTCACCCGCAAGAACCTCAGAGACGAACGTACAAAAGGAATTTTGCCGAGGGCGCAAACCTGCATGCTTAACCGGGGAGTTGCAACAATCAACTTATGGAGGTTTGGGGTCCAACTTGGATGCTGTTGACAGAGTCGCGGGTTGGCGTGGGCCGCTGGGATTGGGTGTCGGTGTGAGTCATGTGAGGATTTGGGATTGCCTCGATACAGCACCCGACCGGGATACATCCGAAGGGGAGTAGCTTCTCGTCGGCACGTCTGACATCTTACTTACTTCCCGTCCGTGAGAATCACACGGACAAGCCGCAAGCCAGTTTTCAAGGATCAAAGGACTCAGCAGGTCGGTAATCATTGGCGCTAAACGCAGTCGGTTCTAGTTCGGGCTCTACGTGCCCCTGTTCAGTTTGCATTATTCATAGCCCTACTTACCAAGCTCTCTATACTCCCTTGAACGGAGCTTGCAACTCTTTCGACCGAGGCGCTATCTCGCGAGCCTGCCATCCTCGGGACTTTGCACGGCTGCAGGTCGGCAGTTTTCAATGCTTCAGGCGGCTTTCCGAATCTCTGCGGCCTCTGAAGTTTGGGCCAATGCTTTGTCAGAGATGCTACTTGCCTGGTTTCTGGGGCCAAAGAGTCGGCTCTCCGTCTGCGCGTAGACGGTGAACCACACCACGGTGCCCACCTGGCTGGGTGGATCGTTTGGAAGCTTAGCACCCAACTCCGAAGCCTTGCATAGCAGAGCTCTGAGGCCTCAAGGTGGTGGGTCCTACATGGCTTCGGGCTGGCGATACCACCTGTAGCCGAACCCCTCTTCGTGCAAGGTTGGGATAGCTCGGCTTCGAGTCGGGATTCAGGGCTGGTCTATCCAGACTGCCGCGCAGGTCCAAACACGCCCGCAGCGCCGCGCCCATCTCCTCGCATCTCTTCTGCGCATCGTGGCCTACATCACCTGGGTGAGCCAATAGAACGAGTCGAAAAGGTTGTTGGGGCACGTTCCCCAAGAAATCGTCCAGGAATGTCAAGGTTCGAGACTGCTTCCATTTCATCGAAGCTCCCATACTACGCTGTGGGGGGGGGTTTTATGTGATGCTACATTTCTTAAGCGCTGGGGCCCTAGAAGCTCAAAGCCGATCATTCTTCAATGCCCGAACGTCACGCAAACGAAACAAACCGCATCTCAACACAAGTCCAACCAACAACACCTCTATCACCCCAGAGAACAAGGGCTTGAGCTGTTGCCTCAACAGTACCTTCAACCTTAATTATCTTAATTCGCAGCGTTTCTGAGTCCAGGGCGGCCCTGGAAGTAGATGTCCACCGGATTTCCGGTGCAGTTAATGAAACCTCTTCTCGTTTCAACTGCCGGGCAAGGGGGGTGCTGGCTTCTGGGTACGGAGTTTGGTTTTTAGGGGTCGGTTGCGTTGACTATGACTGGGGCGTCAGGAAACTGTGAGAGTGTTGTGGGATATGTTGAGGCAGTGTCACGTTATTGGAGGCTCATAGTTCTCAGCTGTATCAAGTTTCGAAGGGGCTTTAAAACATGATTCGAGGAAAACCTCATAAGTGATTCCGATCAGGCTTTGCCATGTAGATGCTGCTGGCTCTTCTCATCCGCTTTGTTCTGCTGCATAGAAGAACTTCAGAGTTCAGGAATTGAAATTCGAAGTGAAGGTTTAGGGTATAGACGTAGGCATATGGGTCTCGATTAGAGCTTCATGCGCACGATGCCAGGTAAAGGACTTTCCAGGGAATGCCGAGCATGGACCTAGACCTTATTATGAAATCGAAAGTCTGGGAACGCAACAAACGAGCCATGAAAGACTCAATTTATTCAGGGACCGGGAGTAGCGGGTCGTATCTTTAGCTTTGCGGACGGGCGTCCAAAGCCTTTGTGGTCGTAGAAGCACCTGGGAAACCAGCGTCCCAAAGCTCCGAGCAGCGACACCGTGTGGACTTCATTGCTTACACTGCTGGCTTACATTGTAAAAGATGTTGCTAAAGTTTTGAAGGAGGTTTGCAAAGGAGGCTTTCGAGGCTTTTTGGAACCGTAGGAACGAGGCTTCTCTCAGCTTGACGCTCGGTGCAGTGCAGTGCTTATGAGGGCTGGCACGCACCGAAGACCACTCTGCGGTGCTGTGCTTATGCAAGGAACCCGGGCACCGCTCGCAACCCAAGATAATCCAAACCCGCTCTGCATGTGACACGTATACGTATGACTGAAGCAGTAGATCCGAAACCTGAACATCAACCCCAAACCATAAGCCCTAAGCCCTGAACTTAAACCTCAAACCCACAACAGTAGTGCTCGCAGAACAGTAACTGCAATCCACTAATAGAACTAGTAAGACTGGTAGTACTATTGCTGCTGCTACTACTACTACTACTCCTCCTCCTCCTGCCGCTGCTGCTGCTGCTGCTGCTACGACGACGACGACGCCTCCAGCACTAGAAGGGACAGCCCTGTACTGCACCCCCCGCCAAGGCACCGAATCATGCCCGCGAGTTTCATCCCATCCTCAGCTTGTTGCTGTGGGGTGTTGAGAGCGTATGATCTTTGGGCAGCCTGGCTTCGGGGCTGTTTCGGATTTGTTCAAGCTTCGTAGCCTCCAGTGGCCAAGTCTGGAGCCCCACTTTATTCCTGAAGCCCTTAATCCTTGTATCCGAAACGACATTGAGCTCCTTCCATGAAACTTGAGGCACTTGGCAGGCTTTTGGGATCCCGTGCGGCTGCTGATTGAAGCCTCGACCTACACTTACATTACCACAACCTAGGCCTTCAACTCCAAGCCGTCTCCAAAAGAACAAAGCAAGCACGAATACGAAAGCCAAGACTTGAAGTGCTGCAACCGGGCCTAGCACAAGGTAGAAAAGACCACGAACACCTACAACAGTTTCAAGCTCTACATGGCCTCAATTCCACAAACCAACCGCTGCCCAGGGTGCCAGCATGTTGACGCCAGCCTCTAGGATGGTCATATTCCTGGCGCAACAGGGTTTACATCGTGTGCGTACATGTACATATGTACATATACACCTATGCATACTCTATACACCCAGACATGTAAATATAGAGAGTGCCACGGAATACGGGCCCGTGTTTTCCGATTAAAAACATGCATTTTCTCGACTTTTTTATGTTGTTTTCTGGAGAGTGCCACGGAATACGGGCCCGT